ACATACCTGCTTTGTAAATTTGATTGTAAAATTTTACAAATTGTTGCTGTTTGTGTTTTGAGGATTTTTCTTTTCAGAAGAAAATCTAATGATGCTTCCTGTAATATGGTTTTAAGATTAATGAACCAACTATTTGATATAGATGACTTTTTCTGTTCATAGAATGCTTGTTTAGTTCTATGATATGCAGCCAATATTTTATTATTTGTTTTTTGATGTCAATTAAAAGAGGATATTGCCCCAATTATGCTCTTGCTGCTAGATTACATGAGGTCCTGTTAATCTGCAAGATTTACTTACAAAACTTCAAATGAATTTTTCTATCGTGTTTTCTTCCTATTTGTTGATGTTGATGAAACTTCGTCCCCATCTCTGCTATATTGGCTGTTGCCTCATTGAAATTACCATTTGAACTGAAAATAATCCCTAAATAAATATACTGTTTATTACATTTAATGCATTGGTTGCCAATAGTAATAAAGTATCTTTTTTGCAATGGTGATTTATTGAAAATAACAATTTCAGTTTTAGATATGTTTATTTTAAGTTGCCAATTTGAGCAATGTTGTTCAAGTTCATTCAAAGCTTGTTGAAGTCCATCTGATGTAGTGGAAATGAGAGCCATGTCATGTGATGACTACAGTACGTGTACCAGCGCCGCTGCGTCGAGCACGATGTGTGCAAGTATGTATAATATACGTGTGTTCGCAATGAGGAACTCGTAGTAGAAAAATAACCAGCGTCTTCAGACATGGCAAGTATGTTTTCCGCGTGACCCACGAGCCCTTGTCAGGGTCACAGTTTGTTTGCAATAAAACTACAAGGAGGGAACAAGACATGATGTTTACACATATTTACTCTATGCGACTCGCACGACCCAATTACATCTTTAGGACTCAATCACTTCTGTGCTTAGGACAAAGAGTGTGTAATTTCGAAATATAACTCCAAGAGGGAAATTATATATATAAAACATGTTTTTAACATCGATACAGACATTTATTTATTGACACAAAAATAACTTTAGAAAGTACACTTTAAGGTCATTTTAAACTACAAGACAATAAAAAAATGAACACAAAGAATTAAAAAGTTACATTCGCAAATTACGAGATTCACTAGCAATCTGTGTACTGACAAGTTACTGAAATTATTGGTGAGTTTGGTCATATCTTCAACTAGAGCCTTCCCTTGTTGTTCGTACTTTGGACATGACATTTAGATGGAACACATCTTAATTTTCCCTGTATTACATAGATACATAGGTCACACGATCTCTTTTCAACTGGAATTTTTGGTTTCGTGTGCCGGCCGTGATGAAAGTAGGTTTTGCATATTTATATTGGTATATTGTATGGAAAATCTCGCGAGGACTTGGGCTTAGTTTCAGGTCTAACAGTCTGGGGAATCAGCTCTCAGTTTACAACGTTTTGTGACGCGAGTCAGTGAAAATTTTGAAAATGTTGTTGCAGTGAAAATGTCTCTGTAGTTCTACGACAGAGAGTATCAGCTACTTTCTCGAAATTCTGTCTTCATAAATTCCATAAACTCAAAAGTCGGAAATAATATAATTACAGCGAAAATTTACAACAGGCAATGCTTTCAAATTACCAACTGAGGCCAAGCTTTATCTGGGTAGCTTTATTTGGTGATTGGAAAGTATCGAATGAGTCACCAATGGTATGTCGCTCCCAGGTCAAAACTCGTACACGTGATTTCCATTCGAAGAGCGCATTGAATTATGATAAAATCAATGTTTATCAATACAAATGTCGCACATGCGCGGTGCGACGACCATCGTTCTTTAATGTCAAAGGCGTTGTCCATGCAAGATATACTAGTAACCACAGGATAGAAGGATTGTGATATAACCCACAACCCACACTGGAAATAGGTAGCGCCCTCTGCCGACGGTGCTGTGCTGTAAATGAATGAACAGAAGGCCGTCAATATTGTTTAGTTTGTTCTGTAATTGTCCGTCAATACAAAAAAAAAACAACAATGTTTTAGAGAGATTTACTATTATTATAAAATATGAACAACTACATAAATTGAAACAGTGATCAATTTGAAAAAACAAAACAAAAAAAAACAGTGCGTTTACTAATTTAGGTATTTTCGACGTTTTCAACCTTGAAAATTTGAAACGCTACTTAGTGTTCAATATTTGATAAGAGCTCATGTTTGGAAACTTGAAACGCTAGCCACTAGTAAGTATTCAACTTTTGGACTCAGAAAAACAAATCCAGGTAAGTGTTTCACATTGAAAATTCGAAAACGCTAGGTAAGTGTTCAACACTGAACGTGTGAAACGCTGGAAACGCGCTTAGTAAATGTTCAAAATTTGAAGTGAGCGCATTTTCCCTCACAGAGACAATTTAAATAATCAAATTGTGAAAACTGTGAAAGCAAACAAATAAACGATTTACTCTAGAAATATTCATAAAAAAGATGGTTATATAATGGCCATGTTTGTTTGTTTGTTTGTTATGTAAAAAAAGAATGGTTTTATACATCTGATGGTAATTTTATTTGCGCATTTATGAATTACTGAACATCCTGACAATTTTGCCGTAATAACAATCATCCCACAAACGTCTTTACTCACTACCCTCATCATTATTCAAAAAAAATGAGATTCGGCTTTCGTAATCGAAGAAAATCATACTCTATCATTTTTATCACACATAGAGCGCTCATTTTAAGGTATGCCCCTAATTGCGTGTATCTGTGCTTTGAAATTAGTGTTGTGTAATTAGTGTGTTAAAGGGTCTCATATACCTCAAGAGTAGGAAACGGGGACTCCTACAAAGTGACGTCATCCTAATAAGGAACCCTGATTTCCTTATTTGGAGAATTAATTGTAGTGCACATGCGCGCTGTGTATATAAATAAAAAGTGTCATGGCGGCCAACCTGTATTAGTGCTCTATCTAAGTACGGCTAAAATTCACGAAATGGCTGTGCAAAAGCCGATTGAATGGGTGTCGTCCGTCATTTCACGCTTCGATGAACAGGTACGTAATGCTATACTATGGTTATCATTTCCCCAATGGCCTGCGATTGTCTGCAATTGCTAGTTCTTTCGGGACGATCGCCGACGATTCGTCCCCTATCACGAGCTTTTCGCGCTTCACAGTTCACAGTTGCAAATTTTCACCGATTTTATTGCGTCGATACAGACGCTCCCATGACTTGTCAGTGCTTGATTCGTGACCACAACCCTCTCTAGAAATTTGTAAAAATTTAACATGGTGACTCTACCGAATATTATGTCGCCAAACAGGGTCCGTGTTTACGAGCTCTCAACTTCCGGTTTAGGCTTGGGAGTGCGTTCAATATGGAGGCCTGTGGCGAGGCTATCGCCTATCGGACCATGATTTATTCAATCCAATTGTCAGAAATCGACATAGACTCGTTCGGTATTGTTGATTTCACTACAATGTGTTCTCATCGACATGTCTGGTCTAAATTAACGATAGTTTACTATATTTTTTCTGAACTGTCACTGACTGTCATGTGCAGCTTTACTACTTATTTTGTTTTGTTAATAATATTGAAAATAAATAAAAAAAAATTGAATGAATGAAAGTAGTTTTGACAGAAGGGTGTAAAAGACAACAAATGTGGAATTGTTTCTTCCAATAATTTTTAAAGTAAATGTTTCAGGAAAAATTATTAATATTAGCTTATTAATGAAAAATGTATCACTGAAAAATATAAATAAATAAATCTTAAACAATAGTGATGCATTGATAGAAAGTGACAGTATATTTTTATATGGTAACTATGCTTTATTTGTTTTTACAACGCAATAGAAATGATATAACAAATTATTAAAAATGTATGGACAACTTGTCATTTCTTGTTACCATGACTACCATAAAAATCTAATCATGACTGGATGGTTGTATATATTGTAGAGAAAATTTAGGAAAAATGATATAGTATCAAGATAGCACAAGTGAGTGCATACATGTGTTTATTTCATTCAAATGTTGTGTGAGTTTTTTTGTAGTGTGTCATTGGTTTTAATTGCTCTCACTCTAATTAATAAATGTAATAAATTGACTTTTTGCAAATTTTAATAAGAATCTCAAAATGAATTAGTAAAAATTACATTATGATGTATATGGGGAATCTTTGCTATTTATTTTTTTCTTTCCCAATTATGACATTATGACACTAAAAACTAAAAATGGCTGTGATGTGATGATCTGGTTTAACAGGTCTCATCTATACAGAGAATGGCTGTGTTGTGATGATCTGGTACAACAGGTCTTATCTATACAGAGAATGGCTGTGTTGTGATGATCTGGTACAACAGGTCTTATCTATACAGACAATGGCTGTGTTGTGATGATCTGGTACAACAGATCTTATCTATACAGAGAATGGCTGTGTTGTGATGATCTTGTACAACAGGTCTTATAATAATCTATACAGAGAATGGCTGTGTTGTGATGATCTGGTACAACATGTCTTATCTACAGAGAATGGCTGATGTGATGATCTGGTACAACAGGTCTTATCTATACAGAGAATGGCTGTGTTGTGATGATCTGGTACGACAGGTCTTATCTATACAGAGAATGGCTGTGTTGTGATGACTGGTACAACAGATCTTATCTATACAGAGAATGGCTGTGTTGTGATGATCTGGTACAACATGTCTTATCTACAGAAAATGGCTGTGTTGTGATGATCTGGTACAACAGGTCTTATCTATACAGAGAATGGATGTGTTGTGATGATCTTGTACAACAGGTCTTATCTATACAGAGAATGGCTGTGTTGTGATGATCTTGTACAACAGGTCTTATCTATACAGAGAATGGCTGTGTTGTGATGATCTGGTACAACAGGTCTTATCTACAGAGAATGGCTGTGTTGTGATGATCTGGTACAAGAGA